TCCTTTTACTAGGCAAATCTTCTTTACGCCATACACGCATATACAAGGTGCTCCACCACATCTGGAAATTCTATTAGAAGCTGTTTTTAAGACTGAATCGTTCAAAGGATTTTTTTTCGTGTACAAAAAGTCTCATACCTAACGTACAGTTATCACTTAGCTCAGTTGCAGCGTAAGTTCGAAACCCAAGAAATCACCGGTTATTTTCAAAATATTTCTTCTTTAATTCGCAGACACCAACCGGTTGGCAATTGGTATTCTGTTCTTCACAACGACGGTTAACTTTTATCACAAAAACCTAGGTTTATCGATAATTGTTTTCTACAACTCTGATTAATTTTCCGGCGTTTTAATTTGAGAGAATTTGTTAATTCGCATTATGAAAGTGTCTCTCGGACTTTTGAGAAGTAACATGGAAAATGGCAATAAGGTAGGTAGTCGATTCTTTTTTACCCAAAAGAAAGTTCTCTACTCTGGGGAGGGGATTTAGTCCAGTACGACAGAAGCAAATAACAGCTGATCTTAGTTCGAACTGCGAAAACGACGCAGTTTTTCCATAAACGTAGGTGCATTGTTTATTACAAAAAAAAAATCGAATCTGTTAGCGCCAAGGATTTAGACAAGCGGAGCCCAATACGACGCGTAGCTTCCCTCTCTCTCTCACCCTCGCACACAGCTGGTTATTAATTGGCCTTTAGTCTACTTTTTTCGAATGCTGATTTGCACGGCGTTGATATCAAGAATTAATTCGAATTTTTTTTTGTGATGCTAATCTGGGATCAACTTAATGAAGTCTGTCATACGAACTGCTTGTAGGTTTAAACAGTCAGTGAGTAGTTACATTTGGAACAGAGTTCCTGTACTGGATACATTAATATAACAATACTTTGAGAAACATGGGCGATACTTGAATTTTGTTGAAAAAAATTTCAAGTAACGCTTAGGCTCAATCATTATTTTTTCACCTTATTACGAAATAGCTTTGGCGCGCCATGTTGTTTAAATATGATTATATCTCATACCCGATACACATTCAGAGATGAACATTTAGCACTGATTGAATTGCCAAAAATTGTTGGAAAAAAGCTCTTCCTGGCGGGTTATTTATGCTCATGCAGTTGAACTGAAGACGTTACGGGACGTTTCCCTCGTATATTTTAAATTGTGGATCTTAAAAACTAAAATGATTGTTTTCAATTATAGGTTTTCTACGGACTTCATGTCTAGTCATCCGAATTTTTTTTGCACAACGTAGAGCAACTGCACTCCTTTTTTCAGAGAGATCGGCGACAACGATTGAAAACAAATATATACTACACCTGTATATACATGCAAGACCTTAGTATTTTCACGTCTTATTTATTTAGTTATTACGCATGTAAAGCCTAGCTTTGTAGCAAATATGGACGTCTGCGAATCTGTTTACAGTGTTTGTGTTCTGTTCCGGGAGACATGCCTTTAAATGATCTCACAGCGAGCCCACGAAGATTATTACTTGGGCTCACGGCAAAAACGGGCGAGCAGAGCTTGAAGAAAAGCATTTGCAATAATATGGCATCGCTCGTAAGCAACATGCGTAAAATAACCTGTTAATGTTTCTCGAACTTGAAGAAAACCAATTTGTTATTCTAGCGTGAAAAAACTGCGCCGGGATTCTCTAGACATATTCTCTAGACAATTGACGTCGATAGTCTATATGCAAAAAACAAGTATTGCCGAAAACGAAGGACACAGAAAAACGTAAGAAGCGATAAACAGGCATGTTCATGCAAGAGTTACAGAAAATTAGCAGATAAAATAAAAAATGCGTATGTAGCCAGCTAAGTACAGCAGCGGCAGAAGTTGAAAAAGAAATTACGTGTCGTATTGACAACGTCGTTTACGACAGAAATGGCCGTAACATCATACACAGCTATGGACGAACAAATGCTCAGCCGAGGTGGCATTACAGTGACCGAATAAAATAATATTATCTGGTCTTTTTTTTTCTCTTTTCATGCCAGAAGCTCGTTTTTATTAGGCATATAAGTACGCTGGGTTCTACATCTCGGAATAGACGACGATAAAAATCTGCTCGACGAAGATAATTAAGCGTAACAGAACTGCCGTTACGACTTGATAAATTGACCCTAGGCGTATCAAAATTAAGTTTTCATAATCAGTCGTTAGTCACTTCCACTTACACATTAAGTCCTCAATAAAATTATTTAAGTTAAAATACGTTTAATCATGAAAACCACCGCCTTCTTTACCATGTTTGACTTTGAATGGAGACACTGGTGAGGAAGGCAAAAGATATTATAGCATCACTATTAGCGACAGTTACGTATTGTTTGCATATTATTGGAATACGAAATGAAAACAATTTGTCTACAAAATAACTGGCGGACACTTTATACGGATAATCCGTTTACTTGTTTTAATATTCCCTATACGATAGTCACAAAAAGTAAATAACAGAGGATAAACTTTTTTTATAATAAAATAAGTATGGTTTTAGTATCTCTAAGGTTATATTATCGAAAGAGCAATGCTAATTCTTAAATTGTTTGCCAGTAGTCTATTAAAATTTTTTTTATCAAAATTAATTTTGGTCTCTATGCTTGTAATGCATGAATTCAACCGCTAATCAGAGATTAACGGTCACGTATTTCTGCCGATTCAGCATCTTAGCATCATTTCAAAAGTGTCGCGTGAAATAGCAGCATACGACAGAATTTTCTAAAAGGTTTCGATACAAGATAAAACGAAGTTGAATCTATTTGCTTGAATATTGGACCGCGTTTTTTTCACTGTCAAATAAGATAAAATCATGAGATGAACAAGTTTAAGGATCAAAAGGATCTCGTCAAACCTAAAATAATATAATAAGAATATACTAGTTCTATCAACTATGAGAGACGAAGGCACATCTAGCCGTAGTGGTGGGTCACACGTACCTTAGATATTTGCGATACATTGGATACCCTCATGACCTGTATAGCCTCGTAGCGTAACATAGAGTCGACGAACTTTGCTATCGTGGCTGCCTCAGATCGTTGTTTAAACCTGACCCCTCAAATTGAGACAACTACTTTGAAAAACATCCCCATAATTTGCAAACTGCAATTATCCCATTTCCTATTCGCGAATGATCTTGAATAATTTTACACAGGATACCAAAGTTAGCGTAACTAACGATATAATGAGCTTCGAGAAAAAAGTTTGCTAGTACAGGTGGGCGTATTCAACTGGTATAAGAATAGGACAGAACATTATCAAGATGTAAGTAAACAAAAAATGCCAATCTCGATTAGATGTCAAAGTAATTATACCAGTGTACTTTTAAAAAACTATGTTCGGTGGAAAAGGCGTTGATAGTTTTCTAGCTAGATGGTCTTTTAGAAGTACTTCAGCAGAACTGGCACGACAGTGCTAGAAGATATACATTTTTAGGGACACGCAAAAACCGAGAGAACCTGGATCAGAAACTCTGATACATCCGCCGTAAAGCCGGATATTTTACCATAGGAGTATCATATGTTTACATCTTTTCAAAGCTTCCTTGACCGTACTGATCTAGTTAAGTGTAAGGAGAGATGTAAAAATTACTTGTCATAAATTTTCGCCCAGAAACCCAGAAGTTCTACAGCGATGAGACTATAGTGCTACCAAGAAAAAGCAGAAGGCCATCGATCAGCAATATTTTAAATGTTAGAAAAAGAGCAGAAGCCTTATAAGTTGCCTTATCATGTCATGCGGAAGATGACAAATGATTTTGTTGTAAACAACACCAATAAGTATAACGACGCTAGAGCGATAAAACGTAATGAAAGCGTTGAAAAAATTCCTAAATTATTATCCCAAGTTAAGGGCACAAGCAGAGTTTATAAGTTTATATATATATAACAAAATGACTAGAAGATAAGAAGCGGAACGAAGTACCTCGCAAATGATATGGTGGGCATTTTTTTGAAATGGTTAACTTTGCGGCTATTATTAGCTCCCAAAACCACAGAACAACATAATAAAAATGAAAAAAATATTCACAAACAAATATTAGAGTTTCCACAGAAGGGCCAGAGGTTCTGAGTTGGGAAGAATAAAGACCAAACGCAAAAGATGACGGTCAATAAGACACTGAAGGGAAGAATGATGAGAAAAAAAAGTGGCCAGTACGAGGTGATTAGCAAGAAACGGTTCCTTTATTTCATGATGCCATCAGTAAAAGTTCTGGTTCCGATACAGAGCCTTTTGTCGCCCATAGATCCCAGAGGGTTCATACAAAGCAAAAAAAAAAATTGGATCGTACCATGGTAGGTGAACCTTTATGAAGCTGCACAGGGGAGAACAGGACACCCGTTGATTCGCATGAATCTTGGCCCTAAATAACCCGTAATCCGACTTATAAAAGTTTATAGATAAGCACAGTCTGAGAGCCGTAAATAAGATTGCAACTGCATGAGCATGCCATGATCTCGGCACTCTAAAGACCGTATCGAATACTGCAACCGATATCGTCGCGCGTCCATAGGAGCTGGAACCATTTTTTGGGCTTTTGCCCTTGTAAATGATTACAGTGGCTCTCTGAAAGGAAATGGTAGAGATGGTACAGAGGTGCAGAGGCAAGCTGGGGGAAAATATATATAAAGCATGGTGACAACCAACCTTCTAAGAGATCTGAAATGCTTTTTTTCCATGCCTTTAAATGTCGAAAATCTTAAATTTAGAAAATTTCGATCGTTTCGGTCAGTGTATTTACTAAACATATTAAAACACCGACGAATCCTGCAGGTCGTGTTCGGGAATAGACGATTCACTTTACCTGGGTTACCTATTATACCATAATCATATATATATAGAAGTCAGTTGAAATAAGATTAGCTCTCCGAAAAGATCAACGAGTCTATTCTAGAGTCGATTAGAAGCTAACAAGAGGTTGTCAGCTCTATGCGTACATTAACTGGCTTCATCTCTATGATCAAACGTCTGTAACTTACTTTTAGTATCTATAAGCTCACCGTTAGAGCTGTCGTTGCCATTATTTGCGATAGACAGGCAATTACGTTTAGCTTCAGCAAGAAACCTCTTCATCATGTCTTCGTCGGTCTCCATCGTCTTGGTCTATTAGCCGTTAGATCTAGCTGGTACTATGCCGACGAATTCTGCAAAATGTACCACCTGAAAGTGAATTTCAGTTACTCAATTTGGACGCCATTAATTTGTAACGTAATCTATTAGTAGCCCTCGAACATTTTCATTTTTTGAGAGTGTCCAATTCAAATCATTATGAACGGATTAATAGGCCCTCTTAAGGGGCGAAATTAATTTCAGACATTTTGCAATTTTTTTACTCGCAATTGGAAACGATCTAAATGCGTTCGTAACAGCCAGCAGGAAGTAGTAAGTAAGATATTAGCGAATCATACCTATGGCCTGTTTTTGTTAATGAAAAGCTAGGATTTTCTAAACAATCCACTGCTGGACACCACAGGCGCATGGGATTTCCAATTCATTGGTCTTGCTAACGTCTTTTGCGGAGGTTACTTCAATTCGCTAACATTAACATGAGCTGGAACCGATATTTATATGCATTCAATAGAGGCTAACCGCACTATTGATATCATCAAAGTATCGCTAGTATTTTTTCATCATAACCTCAAGTGATGTTATGGGTTAACTTTTCTCTATTTGAACGTATCTGCAGTTGAAAATTTCTTTCCTGTGATATCAGCTCCTTGTTTTGTCTGTGACAGTTACTTATTACGCTCAAATCATTCTGATTTGCTAAGTTACGTGTCAAGATGTTGCCAAATACAGCGAGCCAGAAGGGGTCGATAAAAATGATCCTAATATAGCAGCAAGTTTATATCAAGTTATCCATAATTATATCAAAAAGGCACAGAGGACTCGATACTGATGTTACGCGTTTGGCCAGTGGTAAAATTTATCGACATCTTCGTTTTGCTAATACGTTTGTTTAGAAGACGATTCGCGGAAGCTAACCACATAGAATTACCTATTTTAGGCAGACCATTCTGAAATTAGGCATTAGGCATAGGTTCAAGCGAGAAATTTCGGTAGATTTAAAAATAAACACTGTTGTTATAATAACGATAATTTAAACTAAATAAAAAATACAACATTTCAAAGCCTCTCACTGAAGCACTGTAAGTCACCTTTCTATAAGAGCCTGTTCAGAGTCCTTTTGGAGGCCACAAATAATATTTCGTGTTTCCAATATAAAAAAAATTTACGGCTCCATCTGTTAAATTGCTGCTCGTTAGATATAGCTAGGACTAGACAACCTCCGGTGCAAGCTCCGCTCCTAGCATCATATATAATACTATATGTATAATTTTCCATAGAATCATGAAAAGCTATATATATATCATAGTAGTAGTGTTTCTTCGTCAGTTCAGGCCATTTTAAAGAATACCTATAGCATAGCGGAGGTAAGTCATGCTTTTTATTGGTACTTTTTGCCTCTTACTTTCGTAACGAGCAGTAATAATGACAACGGACTGGAATTATCTGGTGCTAAGTATGCGCATTCTAAGTCTTTCTCTAAAGAGTAATACTATACGTATATAAAAATTGTGTTACGATATGATGCAAAATATAAAACTGCCGATAAGGTAATCAAAAAACTTAAAATGATATAGTTTCCATGCAACTTACACCTGTAAAGACTACGCCATAGCCAACAAATGAAACACAGCGTTCGTGCTCACAAGGATGTATATCTACAGGCTTCCTCGACGATTTTCGTATTCTACAAGTACGCTTAAACTAAAAGTTTGAGGTAACATAACAAATATGAGCCACAATGCTTAGTCCAGTTCGGAGAACCTTTGTCAGGCAGATTATAAAAACTACTTCATAACAATATTTCGTATCTTCGTCCTCTTGTGAACGACTCCGCGGAGATCAGACAAGATTCATTTTTGGAGTGGGTCATATGGAGATGTCGAAAGGGGGAAAAGTCCATCATACCGTTCCACATGTCGGGTACAGATACCCATTTTATTTGGTTCATGAAGATTCAAAGCAGCATCTAGCTTATGATGAAGACCGTGCACCACGTATCTACACACGACATGGCGATTTGAACCGTTCAGTGCTATCCGTGCATGCTTTACGATAGCTTCAGATTCATACTACTCTGCGGCTACATTCGCAAGTTTGCCCTTTTCGGTTGTGAAGCATTCGTTAAAGCTGCGGTAAGTTGAGACTTCGTCCCAAATCTTCGATGAACAGGAGTGCCTCAGCGAAAAGACAAACGAGTTGACTTCATGCCGAGGAATAAAGTCCGAGAACGCAGTTAAGACAACTTTGAGCCTACTTAGCTCCGCACAGTTCGTTAGGAGGCCCTTCAATATTGCGTCTATACCGACAACCATTAGGTTAGTTTAAGGTCGAATAGCTGGAGGGCAATAGTGACTGAGATATGATAAGCATTTAAGCATCGCTATAGTTGCTATTCTGCATCTGCAACGAACGATAAAAAGCATCTACCGTCCGACGAAAGAAATAATCAGAGGTAAGGAAAATAGTTTACGTAGGCTAGGGGCAAGCTTGCAATGAAAAGTGCATTTCGGGAAACAATCCGCTTGAAAAATAGCCATAAGGAGTTTCAAAATTTTTGTGGGAACTCCTTCCTCTGCTAAAAATATAAGGACGTCGTCCCTTGGCGCCAAGTGGAAAGCCACACTAAAGTGTACGAACCCGACAATTAGCGTCTAGCTAGTCAGTGAGTCCTTAATATCGCGCAGCAGGGCCTTACGAGCCGGCATACCTGATCAGTCATGTCACAATCCATGCTGTTGGTCTAGGATTACACCAGCACTTTTCCATAATTAACATAGTTTTGTCGTTGCCGGAACAACAAACAGTTTGTAACATAAACTTATGCCACGCCCCGAGGTTGATAGATTAGAGCACCTTTTCGGAAGTATTAATTAAACAGCGCTATCAAGCAACTGCTTAAAATGAGAGTATGCTTTAGGTGCTGGTTCCTTATTGAATCCGAACCCGTTGTTTTATTGGATTACAGATCTAAAACAGCCCGGATAATATCCGTCATCAAAAAGTAAGCCTCTCTTTACTGATCATCTGCCCCTAGATTGCCGAGATCAAAAAGAAGTCTCTTTGTATCGAATCGTTGAATCTAATTATATATATATATATATATATATATATATATATATATATATATAGGTGAAATAGTCGATTGGGGTTGATCAGCTAACCAAGAACGAGGTTGAGGAAGCCTTTTATACGATGGGCACTCAGCTTTACGAATCAGATTATTTCTTGCTGCTGAGGTAGGTGTCTTCGTCATTGCAAGGTATAAGCCTTTCGGCACACAATCTTCAGGTGGACTCTAAGAGATCTTACTTCGAGGTATAAGTCCGCAAAACACCTGAACTCATCCTGGCCCCTCCTAGCAGGCCGACAGAGTTCGTTAAATCATGGCTGGTCATAATTGTGAGGAAGATTAGGCTGTACGGACTGCTGTAGGTGCGATCGATTGCTACGCATAGTTTTAGATATCGGTAAGATCCCGGGCAACCCTATATAGTCCCTATATGTCGAGATCTAGGACTTTCCTCTTTTCGAAAATGAATATCAGTTTAACTGGAGCAAGCGACCGATGCTAGGGAATTTAAAAATTCAGCTTTTTGACGCAGCCATTTTGAAAATTCAGCAGTGACTAACGAATTTTTGTTAGCCAAAACGTTTTCGCAAATTTTCCGACGACACAAAACGAAATTGAAACTTACAAAGAAATAAGCTGTACGGCTAACTGATTTCTCACGAACTTCCTCGTACGTATTCGTCCCAATAATGGCTGATTACTTTTCAATTGCGCATATAATTCCCCGTTCCATAGTCTATATAACTAGAAATTGCTGCTTCGAACCCCGTGAACGACACATACTAAACAGCCAGTACATGTAAATGGGGAGGGTTATTTTTTTATATGATCATAAATCGAAATAAGCGATAAACATGCACATAGAGAAACAAGGTGCAGCGGTAATGAGTCTTATTTCGCTCATTTCGTTGTTATTATTTCGCTAGTTTTAAATAACTTCCTGTGTTCGAATCTGGACGTTTGCCCCACTTTTTGTAGGAAGAGTCCCCACAACGAGTCTGCTAGAGTCGCAAATTTATTGTCATGCACTCTATATCTAGAATATATCTCGCAATATATATATATATATATATATCGCAATATCTAGAAAACTCGACAGCGACCTAATTTTTAAACAGATCCCCACTGAAGGCGCAACCGTTAATGATGAGAAAAATATAAGCTTGCACGCAAACGGCGGCTCGAACCAGATGGGTTAGGTCGCTGAAGACTGGCTAAGAAACGGGCTAAGAAATCTTTCTAATGCTCCGTTGACCTGACGATGAGAAGCTATTATAAAGTTCCGGTTCTTCTACTTGTAGTGAGTTCCTTCCCAGTTAGAGAATTTCATATAAAATTCGTTTGACATTATTGAGTTTTGGGTATTAACATGCGCCAAGTCGATAGCGGCTAACAAGTCGATAAGTCAAAGATCAATGTTAATCCAGCTAGATGTCAATTCGATCTCCTTTAGTCATAAGTAAGCAGTCTTCTTAGCAGACAGCCAATCCTATTGCACACAGAATCGTATCTGCTTGACATACGAAAAGCAGATCGTATGTTATCTACGCCTGAGACAAGCTAGCCATTCCGGTCGGCAACTTTTAGAACGACGATTTTGTTGACGCTAAATTACCGTTTTAGATGCGATGGCAGAAATGGACACCTTGAGAGGTCGGATGAAAAGCCCTTTCCCTTAAGGTAAATGCGTCGTGTCGGCTGAGCAGCCTACCCAACTCGTTTCTGAGTATTCCTACATGTTATGGTTTCTCTCAAGCCTAGCAATAACCGAGCTCGATTATGTTTTTTATGTGTGGCTTTTCACGATACGTTTCAGCGGCAATTACTCTCCCGCTATAATTTCAGATACCTTTCCTAGCTATTAGCTTCTATCGTATATTTGTTTAGCTAGCATGCTTACCAGTCTCGCGTTCTGCCCAGTCTAAGACTAAAATAAAGACCCTGTTTTGTTCGCACGAAGAGTTCGGAAGGTGGAATCTTACTTTATCGTATTTACTTTTACCGGACACGTTTTTCACAC